AAGGCTGGCGTATTGGCCGAACGCCAACTCCATGAACATCAATGGGAAACCGGCCAAAAGCATCATCGCTATGAATGGGATCAGGAATGCGCCTGAAATGCATTCAAAAAGCCACACATTTAGCACACAAAACGTTATAAATGCCAAATGCATTCAGTATTAGATTCGTGTAAATAGGATATTGAGTTGTGTAGTGTAATATTGAGTTCAAGACATACCGCCGCCGTTGTTATAACAGAGATAAGGAAATCTGTTGTTTTTGTTTCGCATAACGATTACATCAAATGAATTAAAGGATTAGAAAATTGAATTTAAATCAAAAAACTTGAACACAAACCGCCAAACATTTCCTAAGCCAACAGAATATCCGAGTAGTGATAGTAAGAAGTCGAACCTTCCCGTCCAGTTCCCCCTCTCCAGCGCCTCCTCTTCCTCTATATCGTCGTCCTCTTCCAGTCCCGGCATTTTCGGAGAGAGCGGCGCCTGAGAGCTCACCCGAGGGAATGACGGCTCCTCTTCCGACTATTACAACATTTAATTGCATTCTTTATTTGTTATATATTTTTCATTATTTTCACATTAATTAAAAATGTTTATATAATTATAAATTTAATTAAACTTCAGTTTGACATTTAATAAAATGTAAACTAAAAAACAAAAATGTTTTATTGGATCACTGATTCACCGTTACGTCAGTATAATTTTTGTAACAACTGGTAATTTGCTATAAATTGCAATTGATGCTTTTATTACTAATTTTTGTTTTGCACATTTGTATGTCTTTCATAACGACCGAAGTAATGACCTTTAACAAATATGATCTAGATTTTAGATCATTTAATTAAATTATAAATAAAAGCTAATATTCATTGAGGAAAATATTTTATATCAAACTTTTGTTTAAAATAATGTTTTTTATTTTTAAGAAACTTTCAAACATTGAAATTTATTATAATTTTAATATTTTATACCTTAAAAAATTAGTTATTTAAAGTATTATATAGAATTTATTTATAAATATATTTGTATATAAATGTCATAAAAACATTTAAATTAGAATTTTCTAATTTATTTAAACATAAATAAAAGTTAGAATTTGAATATTCCTGTGAAGTCTTTGTTTATTTCAAAAATCAGTATAAATACTAATGATATGTCATATTGTATTAAATATAGTGTTAATCATATCGTAAATATTGAATGTCTGGCTTCCGTTCAACAAAAATATACTTTAAATAGAATTCATTTAATTATAACTAAAACCCAAATATTAATTAAATTGTAAGATAAAAATCAAAATACTATTTTAGACAATTCCCAGTAGACTTAATGTTGGTTTTAATATCAAATAATATAAATTACAAACAAATCACATGATGTTTCATTAAAAAATATTTGCAAATTATGTCATTTATTATTTATACATGTTTTCTTCAAAATATATTTTATTCTTTTAATTCTTATGGATTTAAACACATTGTAACTAATGCTACAAATATCCAGGAAATCTCAAGAAAATAAATTCTCTGCAATATTCCTTATAATATAAATCGGTTACTAATTATAGCGATTCTAGGAATTACACAAAACCTCTCATAACGAAAAACAAAACATTTATAAACCCTTTAATTAAATAATGTTATATATAGATCTCAAAATCAATTAATACATCGATTTTTGCACTAATTATAGCTTATAATAGAGATATAATATGAGGTCTCGACTTACTCTCCAATCTAAATAAGGTCTCAATCGTATTGTCTCTCCGGGCTCTTCCTCTGACAGATAGTCTTCGTCTAAAACCACATTTGGATTATCCATTGTTCCCTAATTTTTATTTACAGTAATATAATCTCTATATTTATTAATTTAATTTATATCCATTAACAATGGATCGCATATATTTATAACATGAACGTTGCCATCAAGTGTTTGCATATTCATAGGCACACAATATATTAATTTAAATTCACGTTCAATTAATATATCGATTGTTATATCGCTTTTGATATACGATATTCTTAGCCGTAATTCTGTACGCTTTTGGCGTCAAATTTACACCATTATAGACATTAAAAACAAATACAAGTCGTTAACTCTTTTTAATAATACATATAACCATTTATAGATATATTTTCCAAGAATTTTGAACTTCAATAGTTTGAACGATTTAAATCAACAAATAATATATATTTCATATTATTTTAATAACAATTCATATGAATAACAATATGTGAGATGCATGGAGCAAAGGGTGCCTGGGTATTTCTGTTTACACTTATTGTTGATATTATTATTTTATTGGAGCATGACTTAAATTATATATACATTCTGTATATACGAGAAATGGTTACTTAAAACTTCGTCACACCGTATGTACAGAATATGTATGTCTTGTATATCAACTGCAATACAAGTGCACACATGTAGTACTACTCCCAGCGCTTGCATCAGACATAAGCAGTCAATAGTAAGCCATTGGAAGCAGACTTTGGTATAAGAATCGCAGACATTTGGTTCAATATATTGTTTCTCTTGTTATATAATGTCTGGTTTTGCGCACAACATATACATCGCCAGAGGTTTGCATCGATTTTTTCTGTTTCAGCCATAGATCTAATGCTAACTATTTTTAGAGCATTTCTGGATCTGATGCAAGAAGTTATACATACATACAGACACACAAACACACGATAACATTTGGTATCATAAATCTCATACCGGCGCTACACCTACCCATTCGTGTCACTTATATGTACCGTTCATCTCTATCATCCCTTTTGTATCTGTTTTTTATTTCCCGTTTCATTGCGAGTGAATTCAATGTAAACTTCACTGATATCTCATTTATCAACGCTATTACTCTATCTCTACTAAAATATGAAATACGCTTTTTGGTTTAAAAAAATAATTCAGGCATTTATTTGTCAGACATTCAAACAAATCCAAAGTCAATATGAAATTAAAGAATAAAATGAATTTGAATTATAATCGTCTCAAATCATCTCGTTTTGCATGAAAACCATTTGATGAATAGATTATGCAAACAATTTTTGTACTCAATTCAAAAGATTTTTATTTTATAATTTCCTTTCAATAACTTATAGTATAATAACCGCTCACCCGATAATTATCATGTTTATGTAGGATATTATATTCCATTTACTTATAATTTATATATAATTCAATTAATATGACGTAAAAATATTTTTATATATTAAATCTTAATAAAGTATTTTAATATAGTAGACAATATTAAACTTTTATATCATATTCTCAATAAATGAATAGTAATCTAAATTTTTGTAACAAAAATAAAATTTAATTTTTCATTAAAACGTTCATATTTTACCTGATAATACTTTTATTACATTAAAGAATATATATTTGTATGTAATATCTGTAATATATTCTTACTTTTGATAAATAAAGTAAATATTAAAATATAAAATTTCAAAAATAATACTAAAAACATAAGTACATACAGAATGTACTGTACTTTTAATATAAAGGTTAAATATTTTTATTTTTAATAAATTTAAAATGCTCACATTTATTGATTATAATTATCTAAATTAATATTAGATAAAATCAAAACACGTGTGATTTTCCATACAATATGTATGTGAAAGTAAGTTTACTTTACATCATAAGAATCCTTATAAATATAAACCATTATAATTTATAAAGAACTCATAAGAATTTGTTTTTATTATGTTCATTTAGCTCTAATGTTAATTAATAAATTAGATCCTGTTTTACTTACTATCTAGAAAATTTTAATATATGTATATTTACGTCTAAATATTTTTAAATTAGAATTTAATTAAATTTTAATTAAATAATAATTAAATCTTATTTGTNAAAAACAACAGATTTCCTTATCTCTGTTATAACAACGGCGGCGGTATGTCTTGAACTCAATATTACACAACACAACTCAATATCCTATTTACACGAATCTAATACTGAATGCATTTGGCATTTATAACGTTTTCTGTGCTAAATGTGTGGCTTTTTGAATGCATTTCAGGCGCATTCCTGATCCCATTCATAGCGATGATGCTTTTGGCCGGTTTCCCATTGATGTTCATGGAGTTGGCGTTCGGCCAATACGCCAGCCTTAGTCCTGTCGTCATCTTTGAACGCTTTTGTCCACTATTTAGTGGAATCGGTTACGGAATGGTCATCGTATCGGCGATTGTCATGCTTTACTACAATATGATCATCGCGTGGACCATCTTCTATATGTTCGTCTCATTCAATAAACAGCTTCCGTGGGAGAGGTGTGACCCCCAGTGGCGGACACCTCTCTGTTACTCGCATAAGGAGAAGGACGAGTGTCACAGTCTCTATCCGGACGGCGGAATAAAGTTAGTCTGCACAAAGGGTAGTGACTTACTTTGAAACGAGTTTGATATGCTTGTCAGGTTTGTAGAGCTCTCCTTCCGGAGGCGGCTGCTCATAAAGTGCATGCTGAGATATGTGGTTATTATTTACACAATCATTTGTAGTCATTGAAGGCAGTCATTGAAATATTGTCACATTTTTGTAGGCATCACGTGTTGGGACAGTCGTCGGGTATTGAGGAAACGGGAGGCATTAGGTGGCCGTTGGCGCTGTCATTACTGGCCGCCTGGACTATTGTCTTTCTCTGCTTATGCAAAGGCGTCCAATCGTCCGGTAATTATTTGCAAACCATTTTAAATTTGCATTTGTTTACTTATCTGTGATATTAATTTATATTTACAGGAAAAGTGGTTTATTTTACCGTAAATATACATAAATGCATAGTTATAATGATAAACAATAACAAGTGTTGTTGTATTGTCAGGCATTATTCCCGTACGTAGTTCTGGTCATACTATTTATTCGCGGCATAACACTGCCCGGCGCTATGCAAGGCATCCTATTCTACGTTACGCCCGACTGGAATCGTCTCTTCACACCACAGGTTCTCTTCTGTCGATTGCAATCATTTTCAATATAAGTAACAAACAGAGAATTGCTTCCAAACCCCGCTGCGTCGGCAAGTCCACAAAAAGCGTAACAGAGGCCGGACCCCACCTGAGTAATGTGAGCGGAGAATATTATTTAAAGTATTATTGACCTATAAGTTTGTTAACAATTGTCATTTACTTTGAAAATTATTGCTAATTCTTGATTTGATTGTTTTGATGAAAACAGAGATGCGATCGTAGTTTTACTGGCAAATGGAGGGACGAGTATATTTAGTGGTTTCGTTATTTTCTCGATTATCGGTTATTTGGCCAAAGAGTTAGAGGTAGAGGTCGGAGATGTGGTCGACGAAGGCGTTGGACTCGCATTTATGGTCAGTATTAGGAAAATCATATAAACAGATTCGGTTGAATTGATGACAACATTACACTTCAGGTATACCCGGAAGTTGTGGCGCGACTGCCATTCGCCCCTTTGTGGTCGTTCCTGTTTTTCTTCATGTTATTAACGTTAGGACTCGACAGTCAGTTCGCATTACTAGAGACCGTTCAGACGGCTATTCTCGACCGATTGCCGTCACTCCGAGAGCACAAGTTTTTCGTATTGCTTTCGGTGTCAATAATGGGTTATTTGGGAGGACTTATATTCTGCACCCAAAGCGGCGTTTATTGGTTGACTCTGTTTGACAAATATGCGGCCAATTTCTCGGTACTAATAATCGCCATAACGGAGTGTATAATCATTTCCTGGTATTACGGCGCCCAACGATTCCTGTCTCTCTAGCTCTTTTACTAACCAAGCGCAAGAGTGCCTACCTTTCACCAGACCTGCACCCAGACCTTTGATAAGTGGGGCGAGTGAAATAAACACTCATTTGGTGGATAAAACAAGTAAATACGTCATGTTATAAATGCATACGTTTATCAAATTTGATCTAAATTTTTTAAATATAATTTTCCAATAATTTAGGGTATTTTGGCCTTTAATTGGATTCAACACAAGCCGGCGACCAGTGGTTCGTACGTATACCCCGTGTGGGCCAATGTGTTGGGTTGGTTCATAGCATTTCTGCCGACAATCACAATCATTGCAATGATGGCCCACACCTTCTTCTCATTCAAGTCAAAGGGAACTCTATTTCATGTAAACATATATTTATTTGATAATATGATTGAATTATAAGAACAATAAATCATAAAGTATACTAAATATTTACGGTATATAGAGATTGACGGCATTAATGCAACCGATGGAGAGCTGGGGTCCGACTCATAAGAATCTAGACTTGAAATCGACTGAAATCACGACTGAAGGGAACGGAGCGTTAAATAATGGTCTGATTCGAGAGAATTCGTTCGACAATCCCTCGTTTAACGTCACCTACACTTTCGAGACTGCAATCTAAGTCCCGCTATAACTAAACTCATCCATTAGTGTTGTGTTTACTCCTCAAAACCATTGATCACTTTTTTTTATAGATACCATGAAATGATTTTTTAAATACATGTTTAAATTTTTTGATTCTAATTTGTTTTTAGAATATTTGTTGATTTCTAAGTCATTTAATTAATCTGTTATTTGATAACAAAATTTTAAACGTTTGCCTCAAAAATACAACACAACTAATGAATACACAAAAAGGGTCACTGAAATTGAATTCAATTTTGAGAATCCAAAGGGAATACATTTTTTAGAGATATTTTACTATTGAAACTGACTTTAAATTCTTATAAAGTAATAAACAAATCTTTATTTAGTAATTTATTTTT